CCTAAAATCCTATCAGTTCATACAAGTCCTTGCTGCGATATTGTTCATTTTCAGAAAAACTAGATAGATACAGTGGCGTACCAATAGGGTGGCATGACGGTCAAGTGCCACGGGCCCAGGGTCCCAGAACGCCGGGAAGGGCCCTTCAAAAAATGTGGCAATTTAAATAAAACAGATTACCGTTATTATAGAATTTTAGTTATTAATAAGTTCTAGTAAAATTAAATCACTTTAAAGTAAAATAAATGTAATAACTAGAAAAATAACGGATACACGCAACATACGCTTATAAGTCTAGGATACTGTATTGAAGTCTCAGAAGTCTGTTGATTTCTCGATTCGTTATTAATTATCATATTATACACTATACAGTCTATTATACTGCCCAGCTGAAAATTGAAATAGCCGTCGTTTTTCGTTATTATTTTGTCATTAGTTATTCTGTCATCAGTTGTGAGTCTTCGTCACTCGTTGAACCAAATAATTAATATTGTGATCATGTCGAAAAAAGTACCTAGCGGCTATGAAAAGCGTAAAAAAAATGGAAGAACAAGAAAAAGTATCAAAACTGCCTAAAATAAGTGGTTATTTATAATATTTAAAAAAATAAGATTCTTATTATAATGTGTAATAAAAAATGACCATATTATTCATAATAGTATAATAAATATGTTTTTAATTATTATTTATTACCTTTTATAGCAGGGGTGGGTCTAGGTATAAATTGTGTGAGTAAGTGCATGCTCTTCATATCACAAATTTGTAAGACCAAGGCCTAAGGGCCCGCTGGATTTTTTTGCCACGGGCAATCAAAGTTTTAGTTACGCCACTGGATAGATATCACTAAAAAATACTAAAGAAATTTAACTTCATACTCGTCTTGCTACCATCAAACATACCTACACGGTTTTTTCACAGTTTTACAACTCAAGCAAAAACAATTATTTCAAATAATTCGATAATGGTTTTGTTTTAAATTTAGACACCTACCTACATAGTTAACTTTATTCAAAACCATTATTGTAGATATATTATTATCCTTCGTACCCAATTGTTTTAGAAATCACAACCGTTGTCGAATCATCAAACGAAGTACTTTTTGAAGGTGAAAACTACAAGTACAACGTCAATGTCACTGAAGTAACAGGTGAGTTACATAGATTTCTACAAACATAATAGTGATAATTCATCTGTTTTCGTTTTGTAAATCCGGTATTATTTCCTACTATTACAGATCATTTGGATGAGACGACCGGTGCCATTTACGACAATGTTACTATCTACGTTTCATCAAGTCATATACTTGCTCATAGTTTTGTTTTGTATTTAATATTATTATCAATTAATGACAATTTGTTAAATATTGTATAAGTATTGTATAACGAGTAGTGATACATTTTAAATACCTATGTAATATAATTCTTGTATAATTATTCTACTGTGAACTTATGTCTGATTTATTTTTGTTCATTATACATGCAAACAGTGTCAAACAAGTACTTTAATTTATACATCAAGTTTTTTATTCATATCAACTAGTTAATTTTACGATAATATTGTAATATATTGATTTTTTGTTGTAATTTGCATGTAGGTAACCACACGAATATTATTGCCTGTTCTGTATGTGTTCCAATATTAGTTTTTTTACTGTATATAAGATCAAACTGATGCTATTTTGAACAATTTTTGGAACTTCCAGTGATAAAAATACCTAAAATCTGTGTGTTACCTATTAAATATATTAATCCATCTAGATAACACAAAACCAAAGGAGCAATTAAAAGGTACTTTTTTTTGGGAGGGCTGACCTACATTTATACATTTATATGCCAAACAGCCCGGAGGCTCCCGTGGGTCAATATAAACGATTTTATGTTATACTTTATATTGTTGGGGGATTAACCCCATATCCCTCTAAATTTCGTTTATGCCTCACAAACATCAACATTTTCTGAAAGTACCTACTCGAGTCTTTAACTCTCCATGATGATTGATGACCACAACCATAGGGCCAAATATAATAGAACCATATAAAGTAATATAATATATTAAGTATATTGTTGTTTATATAATTATATTTAATATAAGTATTGAAAAAATACAATTAAATTCAATCGTATGAACTATCGAAATATATAAATATTAATAAGCTATTACCTACTTAAAATGACACATAAATATTATTGCCATTAGTTTATTAGGATTATTTAATAATAGATAAATGGTTTATTAGCTTTTGCATAAGGATGCAAACAATATTGGACTCTGCTCAATCGGGATCACCGAATCGGGTGGCCTCCATTCGAACGCTAGTTGAAAAAAAAGTTATAGGAACCTACCTCAGGGGCATGCTCACTAAGGGATGAGGGTGTAAACCCCCCTCCCCACTTTGGTTTATTTTTGTCATATAAAATATAATATGATAAAGCAATGATTTTTTATATATAACATGATCCGAGGATAGTCAAAAATGCAGATACCCCCTTTCAAAAATGTTGAGCATGTCATTGATTCACCTAGATAATATTATTATAAGATTGATACATTGCAAATCCTTTTATGATTTACATAAATTAACGTTTTGATATGTTAACTGTACTTAATTGGTTTGTTTTTTTTATTATCATTTTACCTATTATTGATTCTTAATAATAAATTCGACAACACGCTAGTGAAAAATTAATTTATGCGGCCAGTGGAAATCGGTACTATATTGTACACTATGTACAGGTATACTTTTGGTTTTTTGTAACTAGTATAAATCTCTTTTTTGCTCTACACAAAAAAAACAACTAAAAAAGATTAAAATGTTAGATGTCTAAAATAGCTAAAAAATATTTTGAAAATTTTTATCGTTTACATAAAATATAATATGAATATTTGATGAAAATTTCAAGTATCTATGGTTATAAAAAAAATATTGATTTTGTGAAAAAACTGGTTTTTTTGTAAACATTTCTTTTTGTTCCTTTTTGTTTTTCCTGATTATTAAGAAAATTAGATACTGGGAAGTACTGAAGGCAGTATATAAAGTCAGAAATTAAGAACTGGCAGTATATACATTACACATATTTTAAGTGCTTTAGAAATTGTATTTCGTCGACAATAGTGCAATATAATAATTAATAATGTACAGAGTGATTTTTTAAGCATGCTCACTCTATTTGGATGTTTAAATTATGCATCAATTGTAATTCTAGTTTTTGGAATTTTTAAATGTAGTTATAGGTATGTACAGTATTTTTGAATACTATTCGAACACAATATTTTAGGAGTATCCTGTGGCTATACGATGATACCAACATTGATTTTTCTGAAAATATTGACGTATTATTGTATCTGAAATTTGAACGAAAAGGTTTTGATCGAGTTATTCTACTTTAAAATAAACGAAGTATATTTGAATATATTAAATACTTTGTAAGTGGATACAAGTAATATTTATTGGTAATTATAATTTATAATAAAATTAAAGTTCTTATATAGGTATAATTTAAAATATTTGTTAATATTATATTATAAGTACTAGGAAAGTAGGTACCTACTATGCACCTAACAACTAATACGGATAACTTTTTAACATTACAAAATGCTTATGAATTACCTAAGATTAAGTTACGTTGCACATAATAATTTTTATATGAAAAAAAATAATATCCTTTTAAGCTAGGTATTTAATATTAATTATCTTAATACTTATTTACCTTTTAATTAAGTACTTAAGTAGGTACCTACAGTCAACTGGCAGTATAACGAATAAAACTGCCGTTCCTTAGAAAATCTTGAGAATCACGAAAAGTTAAATGTACTTAAGTCCCCATGATAGAACGAAGTTATTTTGGGCAAAACTCTGATAATGTAAATTTTTTTAGTAAGATATAACATACACGTCTGCTAGTGTATGACACTACGAAAAATATACAAAAATAAATAACTCGCTATTAAAAAATTTGTTTGACGATTATCTTGCAATAATATGATCGAGAATACAGAATGTTAAGTGACTAAGTGAGAATATATCCATTAAACGTAGAGGGGCACTCACCGCAGAACAAAAACCGTTTTTTGCGTTGTGCCTTTAAAAAAAATGATTAAAAATCACGAAATTAATGAAAATAAAATGTTGAAAGGTCAACATTTTCAGAAAAATTATCTTTACAAAATGGATATCTTAAATTGTTTCAATAATAAAAAAATTAACTTTTTAACTTTCTTACCAAAAACTTAAATTAAATTTAAACATAAAATGTATTGTCTCTGTGAGTCTAATTAAAAAAAAAAACAAATTTATGTTGCATTTATTATTTCATGAGATATAGCAATTCGCAATGGGAAAATCCTCGCGGGACACTCTATATTATGGTAATAAGTTATTATTATTAATAACTAATAATTCATGTTTATAGTACATACCCAATAGGCTCTATCAACATATTAAATGTAAAATAAAGTATCAACAAAGTCTTAAGCTATTTACAGAGACATGACATTGACAAAAGTATGCTTTCTATCATTTTAATTTTGGACAACGCTATTAACCGGATAAGCACAAACACACACAAAAAATATTTATATAATATACACATGTAATAAATGTATAATACAGCATAGTATAATTATATAATATAATAAAATGGCTCTTGTATTTTTTATATATATATGTATATATATATATATATGTATATATATATATATATGTATATATATGTAATATGAATTTATGATCTTACCATATATTATATATTTATGTGTATGTAAATATTATTAAATGAAAATAAATATGTATTGAAATAATACATTTTCATATAATATACTTTTGAAATACCAAACATTTTTCTCAGTCCCTTGAAATTTGTTACATTGCAAGTTGACTGTACTACCATTGAGTATTGGAGTATAGATAATGGCACGACAAAGAGCAAATTATGTATCTGATTGAACTATCAAATTAGTTAAGAATTACATAGTAATAAATAATAATATGTTTATTTATTTTGATACAAAAATAGTAAAATACTGTAAACTACTTATTATAGCATAGTACAAAGACATTTTTTTACTATATTGAATATGTAAACAAGCTTTACTGATAACTATTCAATACAATAACTAACATACAAAATAATAAATTAATAACAAACTTTATCTATATAAATATCATTAACGAATAATCAAATTTGATGTTTGAAACCAACATAATATGAATAAAATCAATGCTTAAAGTTTATTTTCTACAGTAAATTTTTTATGGATAATGTCTCATTACCTAAACTACATTAATTAAAAGTTATTCATATGATGTAACATGTATGCTACTTTATCACAATCAAACGTTTTGGTTGATTAACAATTTTAAAAATCAACAAAGACTAAGAAAAAGCTAATTTTTGAAGATTTAATATTAATTACGAACAGTCATCATAAGTCAATTTTTTTTTAAATAATGCGTTTCTTGTTTTTGATTTTTTGATACAGCAATAGTTATAAGTTTATTCTTAGGATATATTAGTATGCAATTATCATTTATGATAAACAGTTAGGTATCATAAAAACACACCAAGCAATTATTGTATACAATGATTAAAACTTAAAATAATAATCAATTACGTACATTACTGATACATTTAAAATTCTGAGTATAGCAAATGAATGTTTCTTTAGGTATATCATCAATATTTGGTGTAATAAAAATGCTCCGATTTTTGACATTAGTGCATTTCCTAGTAGAAATGAGGATCTCGTTGTTACAATAGAGAATTTAATATCATTAAATTAAAATATAACACAGCAATTACTCAACATACTCAACAATTACTGTACAGCAGAGTGGTTTTTTAATATATTCCTTAAATTTACCATAAAATTAGTTACGAAAGTATAAAAAGTTTCAGCTTCTTAAAATATTTTTCCAGTACTTCTCTAAAAGTTGTCCGATAAAAAGATAATAAACCTAATGATTCAACTGCCCTCGAGCTTAAGAAACTTATACGAATGTCAAGTTGAGTTAACATAGGAACAGCACTGCTCAAAATTTCTAAACTATGTTTGAAATCATTTAATATCAGCTGCAACAAAAACAATATTTTAGTAAATTTATTTATTATTTCATTTAAATGTCAGCATTTTATAATCAAATTATATATTTAATTCATAAAACATTTTAATTTTAAAATATTGTTTGAAAATTGTTATGTAAACAATAAACTGAATAAACTATAAATCTCTAGTCGTTTGATGAAATCATAAAACTATATTACCTTATTTGTGAACGGTTCTAATGACACATTGGTGAAGACTAAAACTTTTAACCTTGAATTTGTAATGTATTGCAAGCAACGGTGTGAAATATTTGAATGCATAATCCTTAGAGTAATCAATTCTGAAAGTACAAAGATATGGTTGAAAAATAACATATAAATAATATTTTTTTTAATAGGTCTACCTTTTAGATTAGATATTGGCAACTGAATGAAAATTTCATCATTTAATATAGAACAATCGTCAATCCACAAATGATTTAAATTAGTGAGATTTCTGAACAGTAGTTGTAAATCTTCAGCTTTAAGAATATCACCATTTCTTATTCGTAAACTTGTTAAATTTGTACCACATTTTAATACCAGATTTGAATCAAGAGAACAGTCTAATGATGTAAGAGACTTCAAGGTGCATTCTGTAAATGGTACTGTTGGAAGTTTAATAACATGCATTTCATAAACTCTATTAAATGATAGTGTCCTCAAATATTTCATATTTTTTAACGATTCCAGTAATATTTCTAAGGATTTAAGTCCATCACTGTAAATTGATCTCAAAGCAGTATAACTTATTTTTAAGTATCGAAGATTATGTAGTTTAGATACAAATGATAACAAATGAACAGGTAAATAACTTATTTCTAATTGCTCTAAAGATACATATTGACCTAATACAAAATTTAACTTTTCATAGTCGATGGGATGACTTCTAAGTGTCCCCATACCACTCAACGTCAATGATTTAAGTTCAAGTTGAATGGGTTGTATCTGATAAATTATACAACAATGTTCATTTAACCTAAGGCTATTTAAGCGAATACAATTATTCAAATGGTGTACAATATTTTCCGCAGAAAAAATAAGATCTGAATTGTACTTGGTAAATAAACAATCAATATTACTATTGTGGGGATAAAACCTTTTTATGATTGCATGTCCACCAGTTAAACGGCAATCAAAAATACCTAAATCCTTTAAATTTGGAGCAAGTTTCAATATAAGATTAAAATCTCTATCAGACATTTGAACATCACATAAAGTGATAGTGGATAATTTGAGTATTGGTTCACGGTCCTTGTCAGTTAAACACAAATTGTTCAGACATTTTAGTTCTAATTTTTCAAGATTATTACAGCATTGGGTAATAGCATCTAGAAATGAATCATTTAGCAATATCAAATTAATAAAATTTAATGATATAATGTGATTTCCTAAGTTTGTGAAAATAGATAAGTCATCTGTAAAAGTGAAATTAACAAATTTCAAACATAACAATTTTCTTCTTGAATTCCACAACATATTTTTGAAATCCTTAAAGTACTTCAGATTGACCTGAGATGGCTGATAGATAAGTATCTCTTTTCTTAAGAACACTGGGTGAGATGTAGCATGATAAAACACTTTATTGACCCTAGCCAATTCTCGTCGATCATCAAATGACACGTATTCCAGTATTTGTGTGATGATCTGCAAATTAAAAACAAAAATATAAGTACCTTCGACACAACTATGTACAAAATACTTTTAAAACTGTATTTAAATACAGATACATCCACTCAGAAAGCATTTAAAATACATTTAGAAACAAATAAAAATACTTGGCATGTTTTTAATTACTATTTCACCTAATTATACTAGTAGACAGTAGGTAATAAAATTAATCTTGTAATTAGTAATTAATAATTTTAAAATTGTATTGTCACATTTATAATCAATAGAAATTAGTACTTCGTATCACCTACTTAATTGTAAACATCATACTTAAAAATGTATTTTATATTAATTCTGAAATAGGAAATAAGAACTTACTGTAATATAAACTAAACAATAAACGGTTATTAATAAAATATCAAATTACTTAATATTCAAATAAATGTTAAATAATTTGATTTTTATAAAAAATAATATAGGTAGTTTAATGATTATCAAAAAATAGCCGAACTGTGACAAATAATTCTTTTAAATTTTTTTAAAGTTCATATTTAGGTAGATAGGTACTTATAAATATTTGATTTTCAAATACACACAAGTACGTTCATAGTGTTCTTTAAAAATTATGCCCAAACTATTTAATCAAATACTTTACAAGACTGCTACAACAGCAATGTAACATTTGCTCAATAGCTCCATTCAGGACTCAGGACCATATTTTATTATTTATTTATTTATAAATATAATATATTATATAAATGTATTTCACGTACTTCTGACGGCAATGTTTCCATTTCTTCTTTTTGCAATGCGTTATAACAGCGTGAAGAAATTGTTAAACTAAATAAGTTGAAAAAATTGTCAAACACTCATAAGTCTAACGAGTATACGAGGTAGGCAACATTAAATAATGACTAAGTGGATTTAACTGTGTAACTACATGCCTGAAAATATTGTTAGTAGAACACTGAAAAAACTGACTGTCTAGTAGCTGGTTCTTAGATTGTATTCTCCAAGTATAAAATGTATGGTAAAGTAAACTAAGTTTTCTTAGTAGTGAATCGTGATACAGTGGATATGTAAATTACACTTAAATTAAGTCTTCGAATACACGATAAAGAAAATATTTCATCATGTTCAATCGCTAACGCACTATGCAACTATGTGATATTGTGATTTACAATATTATAGTAATAATATGCTATAAAGCCAAATGCATGCCAAACATCTGTGGCTGGGAATCTCTCGTAAATTACAGTCAAAAATACATTTAAAAATCAGACCGGGAGTCGTGAGCGTGACTGCAACGGTGCGATAAGCGCGGCTTACATATCAGACGACAGTCGTGTTGTACACCCATAGATAACGTATCAGTATATCAGGGACCAAGCAGCTGATTAGTTGTAATATAGACCTTGCACTCAGGCCTCATATTTATAGACCTACAACTATGTAAGTACTAAGAAGTACTAAGTAGTACTTACTAAAGAGCTTTAATAATTTTATTATTATTATTAAGGCTCTCTAGTACTTACTTTAAGGTCTATAAAGTCTATGCTTACGCCGCACTTTTACTGAGTGTATGGATAAAGACAGAAAAATAGTGTATTGAAGTTTGATACATTACTAAATTAATACATTAATAATTAAACGTGGACCTAGATCTCCATGATCCAAATAGCACAACCGGGATGCATATCCACAGAATTCTAAAAAAAAAAATTAGATGGTTATACACATAGACATATAAGTAATAAACATAATATATCGCATATTGTTTAATATATTTATATGTCTTTGGTTTTACATAAAAAGTCTAGGAATATTTTCGATTTTAACGACTTTCCTTGGGGAGCTATTTTAACACAGGGGATCTAGTAGAACGGGGATCTAGGCGATACGTCACTAGAATTACATATAATTGGTATGACTCGTGATAACGATCACGTTTATAACCTCACTGTTGAATATAATAACATATGTTTGATTACTTTTTTTTCCACTACATAGGACAAGGCGCTAAAGATTTTCTCACTTATCTTCTCGGTCAAATAATTCTCTGTGTACTGCGGCTTGTATTCTCGTGTTTTCCCGAGCGTTGAGTTTAATTCAACTCAATTAATATTCGTCGTTTGCCGGAACAGAAAAACCGACTACAATGTTTCCTTCAGTGGTGCGCGCCTGTTCAAAATTATCCCGCGGAGTCGTGGCTGTTGGGCGACACTCGACCATCAAACCGATCACAGCCGTTTCTGCAAGGTAATAAATGCTAATAATATCACTCTGTTCTTGTTCGGATAACATATTTTACACCTATATATTTCAATTGTTAATGGCGTCCTTTAGGTTTATGTCCGAACACAAAGAAGAAACCGACGAAGAGTTCTACTCTAGGTATGAAGCGTACTTCAACCGCAGCGACATTGATGGATGGGAAGTGAGGAAAGCAATGAATGATCTGGCGGGTCAAGACGCGATAGCTGAACCAAAAGTATGTTTGACCGCTGTCTACAATATTTTAATACAGCGAAACTTCCATTTAACTAAATTATCTATTAAACAAATTATTTTTGAGAACCATGACCTTCATTGTTGATTGCACGTAAATCTATCTCCAAATAACGAATCTGACATTTCTATGTAACGAAATAATTATTCGATAAAAACTGGTTTTGTAAATGTTGTTAATATCAAATTTTAAACATAGTCTTAAAATTGTACATGAACAATGTATCCTATAAAGATAAGACACCGGAGGTAGGCAAACTCATTAGTTTTATTGCAGTATTTTAAAACTTAATGATATAGAAACTTTTTATTAAAAAAGTACAATTTAGAAAAAATATTAGGCAAACAAAACTCACTAATTATTTCTTTTGAATTATAAAATTAAAAACTAAATTAAACTGTAATATTATATTTGATGTTGCTTTTTTTCATAACGTATACAACATAGAAGTATATACATACAATAACATTTTTAAAAAAAGTTGAAAAAAAACGTAATTCTATTTAACGAATTCCTCCATATTACAATTTTTTTTGACTGCTTATTCGACTTCGTTGTATGGAAGTTTTACTGTTTATATTATACATGCCAATGTATAATTGACTGTGACTTGTATTTATGTTGTCTGTTGTTTATTAGGTAATTGTTGCTGCCTTGAAAGCTTGTCGTCGTCTCAACGATTATGCCATAGCAATTAGGTTTCTAGAGAATGTGCGAATCAAAAGTGAAATTGACAAAAGCATCTATCCTTACATCTTACAAGAAATCTCACCAACTCTTCAAGAATTAGGTATAGACACACCCGAAGCACTTGGGTATGACAAACCAGAATTAGCATTGGATGATGTTGATCACATTTATTAATAATAATTAATATATTTCTGTAATCACTGGTGTTCACTGTTCCAGTTAAAATTTATGTTAGAAAAACATTGTTAATTTGTATTGAAAAAAAAAATAATAATAAAAACATCAAACACTTATTGTAGTAAACATTATTTTTGCTTAATTTTTTTTTCTCAAAATACACAAATATATACATAACAATTTACAATTAATTATGTTTAAAATAATTTTATATTTTAATACTAAGATCATTTATTAAAAAAGAAGGTAGTTCTTATGTTCTAAAGTATGTTTATTAACTGGTATTGTCTTACCGATGTTACAGTCAGTTGTTTAATACTATTTTGTTACATATATAACATTTCCAGTTATTAGGTATGTGGTGGTGGGAGAAAAATAAAAATATTAACATATTAACTAATATTTTTATTATTGATTATGAAAACTTGAGACAATGTTTGTTGAAGTAATCTATAGAATTAAATTAAAAATATTATTTTCATAAAGGTTAAAAACCTAAATAAATTCATTAATATTTTAAGTTCTCGTTGATTTTATAAATCAAAATACAGGAACAGATTATTAAAATAATTCCTTAATAGTTTTTAATTGTATAAGTATATAATTATGTGCCTATGTGCTGTCTAGAAGTCTACTAATCCATTATGAGTTTTAGTTTAAGTCAATATTATATTGTTTCAATTATTTTCTTATTATAAACTAAGGACCGCTATCTCACATCACTTTGGCCACTACCATATTCAACTTGAAAAACTATATGGGATGTTTATATCAACTATTTTACTACGTACATAAGCACAAACTATTTAGATATAACAACTGACAAGTTAAAAATAAATTATATCAACACATACTAATTTTGGTTGGTATTAATATATGATTTTCTCTACCACAAACAGTTTTCAAAATTTCAATACATAATACGTTCTTAAATTTTGTAGAAACATCCCTAAGAAACTCCCATCATTATCAATTAACAACCCTATTGTACATTTGTATATGTTTTTGAGTTAATCTATAATTTTTTCAACATAGTATTATAATTTATAATCAGTGCTGGAGAGTTGCAGTATTTGCTAATTATTATTTATTTTTGGCTCTAGCAAATAGCGCCACTGAAACTCATGTCAACATTTTGTTACAATTATCTCAAATATTAAATTAGAAAATTCTGTTCTTTTTTTTTTGTACTTGTATTATTTTAAAAGTGAGGGAAATATTTTATTCCTATGTTTTAAATTTATTGACCAGTTGTCCGGAACACATTATTATTATCATGTAATGCGACAGTCAGTCGCTCACAAAACTCACACGACTTTTGAACGATAGGTACTTTATACGTGACTTGCGCTGTAAATATTATCACATTTTCGTATTATAATGTGTCAGGGAAACAAATTTAATAAAGTTAGAAGTTACTACTCAAAAAGAGTAACCCGTTGTATTATAATTTGGTTAAACGTAGGTAACTTAACTTCAATTTTTTTAACTCGTTAATGCTCACCATCGTATATTTTCTAAGTAACAGTAACTACTTATGTTAGATCCACGATTTAAGATGTACAGGTTGCTCATCGACCTATACCGAGATAATATTAAAGGAGCACACAACACAAAAAAGAAGTTTTTTTTATTTGAAAGAATGTTCAATTCTAAGGATAATGGTATAGGTTTTACGTTTCTACTCACATTATTCAATAAGTTTTGAGCAATTGAAAAAAGACGTGTGACGTCACTGGGCCGGAGTCGTCGTAATTGCCTATTTTATACGTTTAAAAGTTCCTCGCTTCACACAACTATTTTTCAACCTAAACATTTTATTTTTGCAATTTAATTTACATGTAAATATGTGGTTTTATGTGCTTAAGACAATGCAAGAATCAGAATTTCATTATGACTTTTAGTTTTTTAAATATTAAAAATCTTAAAAGAGACATTTTGGTTAAACCGCACTTCATGGCGAGGGGCGCGTGGCGTTCGAACAACGTGTCCGCCGTTTAACCAAAATGTCTGTTTTAAGATTTTTAATACTTAAAAAACTAAACGTCATAATGAAATTCTGATTCTTGCATCGTCCTAAACACATAAAACCACATATTTATACGTCAATTAAATTTTAAAAATAAAATGTTTAGGTTGATAAATCGTTGTGTGAAGCAAGGAACTTTTACACGTATAAGATAGGCAATTACTATGACTCCGGCCCAGTGACGTCACGCGGCTATTCTACATCTCTTAATATCTCTTCACAAAATCATTTCATATAACCATAACTACAATAATTTAACATTTAAAAACAATTTAAAGAATTTTTTTATTTGTGTTGTGTGCTCCTTTAAGGTTGGAAGACGAGATTGACTCACAGCCGTGGAAAAAGACGCTAGCGCTCTCTATTATCATTTATCACAATTTAAATCACGAACTAATTATCACACAAAATAATTTGAATTTATGTCATCGATTTAAGATATATATAAATAGGTACTTTAGGTACTTATTACTTGGCCGCATACAAAACTTTATTATTTTGTTTAACGTATGGTATTATTTCTACTACACTTGAGATCTTGAGATTTGAGACTTCATAGGATATCTTAAAACTATAAAAAATATTTATNGTTATTTTGTTTAACGTATGGTATTATTTCTACTACACTTGAGATCTTGAGATTTGAGACTTCATAGGATATCTTAAAACTATAAAAAATATTTATTCAAATTGGAAAAATATAATAAATAAAATGAAGTGCTGCATTCCTTATTGTAAAACAGTATACAAAAGTAGAACTTTTGGTATACCTAAAGAATCATTCGATTTGTGGGAAATTACACTAGGTATGAAATTGAATGAATATGTTCTCATTTGCCAAACGCATTTTGAGGAAGGGGATATTATTAGGACATGGGTATCTGGTACTGAGTATATTTAGTAGAATCTTTTGGAAGAATATGGTTTCTCGGATGTGTTAACTGCTAAGTTTTATTTTAAGACTAATAAATATATTGGTTGGTTGTATTATAGCTTGATTATTATGATAAAATAATAAAAATCTATATGACTTACATAATAATATTAAAATTACTGTTCAATTTATACAGTTTGAAAGCAGACTTCAATAAAATGTTTGGAAAATGATAAAAAATTGTTAAATTAAATTAGTAAAAAGAATAACAACATTTAAAATTCAGTAGGTAGCCGGCAGCGATACGGTAATTTACTGTTCTCTCTCAGACAGCGCTCCCTGTAATTTCCAGCACCATGAAGAACTCAATTTGGTGCTCACCTTATCATATGCCGTCGAGCAACCTGTATATTATCTTAAATCGTGGTTAGATCGCATAAACAATTATATAAATATAGGATACTGAGTGTCTGAGTGGGAGGAGTAGGTATAATGCCAATGCAGTTTTCCATCCCCACAATGTTAACGGTTTATAAAAAAAAAATTTTTAAACATAGGTAATGATATTATTGGAACATAAAATAATAAACGTCTATGGTCAATAATTATATTATTATAAAAAACAAAAAATAAACTATTATATAATATTTTTTCATAATAGTCATAGTTACAGCTATAGCGAACAGTTAACCAGGTACCTATTTATTTATATGAACTATATCATTAGGTAGGTATATTGTATTTGGAAATATTTCAATCAAATTATGGGATCAGTTACCCAAGTGCATAGACTTATAAACTAAGTTTAAATGGCTATGGTTAGGTGTACCTATACAGAAGTACCAGACTTTTCAATACTTTAAAATAAGATTTAAACATCGTTTTCGTGTCGCTGTAAAAAAGTGATTCAAAACGTAACTTTTTAAACATTATTTGATCACAATACAGTTGTAATTCAAGTTGAGTTAAGGCGGGAACAAAACGACTAAATTTCTTTAAACAATAATGGAAATCGGACAAATCGTTCTGCAACAAAAAATAAAACATGAATAATTACCTAATATTAGGCCTGTACAACTACAATAGTAGGTATCTCTAATATTTTATACAAAAAACCGTTTTAAATTGATGAGTTTTGTTTTGAAAAAAGTAATGTATGAGTACAAGCAATCATGAGTAATCGTCAAATAAATTGATTCATCGATGACACTATTTTTGTTAAAAAATTTGTCAGTGTTTGTATAGTTTTTTTTACATACTCGAAACTCATTAAATATATTATAGGTACCCAACTAATGTTTAATCATAAAATGTATATATTATTATATTATCTACCAATGCAACGCACGGTTCTAGCGACATATTGTTGATGACCAAGATGTTTAAATGCAAAAATTTAATATGTGGCAAACATCGGTGTGTCAAATTTGCGTTGAATATCTTTAGAGAAATCAGTCCTAAAAATGTATTAAAGACAATCTTGTACAAGTCGAATAATATGTAACAATAAGTAATAAGTTAATAGAGTAATAAAGTTTCGACCATACAGAACACCATTTAAATGAATTATAAAGTATTTAAACATCCATTCTTTAAATATTTAAAATACTATTAAACGTGCATATATGACTCCATATAAGCTCTCCAATAGATACCAGAATTCGTCTGGGTATAGTTATATGGACTTACTTCAGCTCTTTTTTGGAATATCACTATTCTTTTCATCGTGTGTGGACAAATAGTTAACCTAATTTAGCATGATACTATACTTGCGCTTATTTTTATTCATACACAAATATCTATTTCAAGTATGATACATTTACAAGTATGATTTTAAAAATATAATAATAAATACTCTAGTTCACAACTTTCGCCTACTAAGGACCAAGTCCGGATCACGCCATTCCTTTATATATATATATAGGAACTATATGCACCATCATATGCAAGCACACGGATACGTAAGCACATATATTATAAGGGTATCCATTGTACGTTCTATATACAGCCACTTTATCTTGTTTGCCCACTACTTTCTACTCCAAACCGACAGTGAACGGGGTCTGTTTGATGATTTAGTTAACTTTACTTATAATTTAAGTATCTAAAAAATGGAGACGTAAGAAGATCTGAAAATCTTAAATATTTCGGTAAATTGATTATAGGGGAGGGGGGGGAGTATTCAACCAAAAATAATTTATCGTCTTCTGCAGTTTCTCGGTAGCTCTTTTCATAAAAAAAGAGCTGAATATAATATTACAAAAGTCAAAGTGGTAATTTTGGATTTCTTAGGATTCGGGGTTTAAATTTTTTAGTCTGCGAAATAATTTTCCACCTGCAAAGCTGTCGTGCCATCTACGCCAAAACCCTTAATTCTGACCCGCATCTACTATAATGGAGTAATGAGTATAGTATAGACCAGAGGTTCCCAAACTGTGGGTCGCGACCCAAAAGTGGGTCGCGATTATACTTTTGGTGGGTCGCACTATTTTTTTAAATAATACAAAAATATAATCATCTATTACTTTTCGTTGATGTTCAAAGTTCAAATTCAGTTTTATCCTCAATCCTTATCTGTGAGTATGACAATTACGAGTTTACCAGCGGCCGTATCAAATACTATATATTATACTTATTATACATTTTTTTCGTAATTACATAAAATGTAATAAAATAGTTTAATTTTCTGTTGTATGGTAAAAAAAAAAAAGGTCATTCATTGATATTGTGGGTCGCTATATTTAAAAAAAAATTCAAAATGGGTCGCACAATAAGAAGTTTGGGAACCTCTGGTATAGACAGTATAGTGGCTAAGTCCCGAGAACTTTACGTCCACCAAAGCCTATATTTAGCATAGGACTAATCGAAAACTTACATGTTATATGAGGAGTGAGGACTGTGTAACACAGCGGTTCCTAACCTTTTTCATTCTACGCCCCCTGTAAATTTACTAAAATCTCGTTACCTCCCACCCTTAAATTAAAGTTTGGGAATATTTTTTTTTTTGTGAGTGGTACAAATAAAACATTTAAAATAACTATATATAATATAATATACAAATATTTACTTTTATTGTTTTCATAATTTAAAAAATGTATTATAAATCAACTTAGGTACGAAGTAAAAATATTAAGTATAAGAAAAAAATATTGAATATATTAACATAAAGTATAAATAATATCCCGGTCTATCGACTCTATCGTTATAAGTACCTAATATATAATTGTTATCGAGGCCCGATAATCTTTTAACTAATATAGTGATTTCAATTTTACACTTTGTAAAATAGCATAATTATTTTCGTAATTCCGTCATCACTATATACCCCCTGCCCCACCCCCGAGCAGACTCTAAATTCGGGAACCGCTGGTGTAACATTATGTCGGATATTATAGGCCACACGAATAAATGGATGGTTTATTTGTGCCACACAATCAACTTGAAATAATAATTTATTAAGATAATAATATTTAGATAATATAATTCTATATAGTGCTGTTAGGGATGTGACAGTGCGGTACATAATATAATATAGTGCCTATAATAATAGGTATATGCACAAATGCTCAATCCGACATTGCTCTGATGTTACCTGCAGTAAAATACTTTATAGAAATACCTTTGAGATTAGAAACCGGCAAGCCGGACATAATGTCGTCGTCGAGACAAAGACAGTTGTCGATCCACAGATGTCTCAAACCGATGAGGTTTTCGAACAACAGTTGCAAATCACCGGCCGACAGAATGTCGCCGTTCCGGATGCGTAAGCTGGACAACCGTTTCCCGGTACGCAGCACGCACAGGCTGCTGTCCAACGAACAGTCCAACGACGTTAGTGATTCGAATGCGCATTCTGGTATCGCGAACGTCTGAAGTACCGCGTTGAGCCCGACGTCCATCGATGTCTCGACTACTCGATTAACGGCCAAAGTCCTGATACGCTTCATGTCGCGCAACGATTCCACGAACTCGCGCAGACATTCCATGTCGGCGTGTCCGATTGTTAAGTTCAAAGTCAAGTGCCGGAGATTGTGCAGCCTGGACACGGCCCCGACTAGACGTGCCGGGAGGTGATTGATCTCCAACCATTGCAGCGACACCTGCGTGATCGATTTTAATATGTTGTGCAATGTATTGTATATCAAAATGTAATAAATAAGTTTATTAAATATTATTAAAATGTTGACAATTTATTTTATTTTTAAAAGCTAGATGAAAATATCAAATGACTGTGTTGTATGTTGTAATGTATCTCAATAATAAATGGTATTATTATTGATTGTCTCACTTGTAAGGCTAATGCCGATTCGAGTTTTTCGTAATTGATCATTCTGCGCGTGTTCAAATATGGTTTGTTCTGGCTCAACAGCAGGGACTTGAGCCGAAGTGACCTGGACCGTATCTCGCCAAATATGTGGCAGCACAGATTCAACCGCAGGCTGTCCACGGTGCCGGCCGCGGTGCTCTGTAAGTACCCAATAATGTTGGAGTCCGACAGCCCGACGTTGGAAATTCCGGCCACAGCCGCGTGCACAGGGTCCAGCCAATCGTACGTCTGACAGTTGTTGATGCCAACGTCTGTCACGTTTGGGGCGCAAGCCATGAGCACGTTGAAACACTCATCCGACACGCCCACCTTGTCGAAGCGCACGCTGCGCAACACGAGCATCGGCCGCCGGGGTTTGTCGGCGAAGCACAGCCGTCCGATGTTCTCCAGCCGCAGTTCCTCTAGTCTGACGCAACTGCCGGTGATCGCGTCCAGAAACGAGTCGGCCAACCAGTTCAGGCTGTCCAGGTGCAGCGACACGACGGACGGTGGCCAGCCACCGACGTTGCCGAACGCCTTGCCGAAGTCCGAGCGGTTCGAGCCGTGGAATTTCAGACAGATCAGTTTTCTCCAGGGCTCCCGCAACGCCGTCGTTTTGAAGTCCTTGAATCGCCGTCGCCGGTCGTCTACCCGCAGCCGCTGAACAGGAGCGGTGTACACGAACAGCTCTCGTCGCAACAGCACCGGGTGCAGGGATGCGTACCGGAACGTCTTGTTGACCAAGGCCACCCGCCGCCGGTCGTCAAACGACAGGTATTCCAGGATTTCAGTGATTATCTGCAAAAGTCAAGAGAACGAAAGTACCTATTGCTGCACGGGGATTCGATCGTAAACTGAAGATCGATGCATAATATTAATTATTATCAATAATAATAATACATTTATATATATATGATAATCAGTATTTGGGTCGATACCAGAGACATTTGTCGATTGAGCTATAGATATAGGAACATGACCAAGCCAAATATTATAAGTACGAAAATATTAAATATTAGTATTCATTTTTTCTCAATCCAAGTAGACAAAAACAGGAGCCGAAAATCATTGTACTGGTAAGGTTATATATGACAAAGAAAATAATTGGTAACTACATACTTATATTATATATATATAAGGAGCAGTGGCGCAGCTAGTTTTATAAAAAGGAGAGGGGTAAGGTATAAATTAAACTGTTTTTTTGTACAGTTTTCGTGTATAAATAATGCATTTATTAGGGGGAAAATAGGCAATGGCTTAAACACCCGACTCCCCTGGCTACTTCACTGATAAGGTGGTAATATCAGGAAAATAATAAACCATATATTTATTAGCCTTTCGTGAAACTTATATTTAGTCTAACAGATCAAGAAGGGACTAAAAAAAAACCGTTCGACTAGACAAATGGTAGAAGTCGTTGCATTTCCATGTTGTTTTGGTTGGCTATTGCCTATTAGATTTATTATGCTAAGTAAGATTAAAATTAATTTCAAAATCCTACGAAAAAAATATTAAAAGTTAATAATTCATATTATTGTATTTAATGATTTTGTAGTTATATAGCACATTTCTCAATTTTATTTTTTTTTTTAGAGTATATTATTTGATGGTTAAAGTTAAAATTATATGTTTATAAATTTAATAATAACATTTGAAAATTCGATTGTAAAAAAAAATATGTTAAAATCTAGCTAGGTATATCTATTTTGAGAGTCTTTACTATAGGTATTATTGTAACCAGTGGCGTGCCCAAGGTGGGGGGGAGGTTAGGGGTTATATCCCCCCCATTCACTTTTTTTTATTGACTTCAACTTATTTAATTATTTTATATTAATTTAAATGTACTTTTACCAAAACATTTATAACATATATCCCCCCCATTGAAATTTCCTGGGCACGCCACTGATTGTAACGTGTTTTTAAAATACCTAGTTAACACATAATTTCCAGTTTTTACTAATAAATATTAATTAGGAACAAATTATAAAACATAAAAAATATATTTTTTGGTAAAATATCTGTATTTATGAAATTTGTGAGGAGAAGAAAATAAGTCCATATTTTTACTATTGTTATCACATTATTTAGGGCGTGCATATTTAGTACTTTTTAAGTGAATTAAGTTCCAAGCCTTACCTATTATGCATTTTATAATATAATATGTTTAATATACACACCTCGGGCGGTAACGTTTCCATTGTATAATAATATTATCACAGCTGTAATATAGGTATTTTAAATTATAATAATGTAGTGTTTCGACGCTTCGATCTTTTATCGTTGAATGTTCTCGACTACCTCTAGGTCCTACAAGGACACGTCAAATAATAAAGCAATGTCGCCAAAATCGAGAGGCCGTACGAGTGTAGGGTGGTTTCATCGTGACGAAGAGTTGCAAGATATTACATTATAATCAAAATAGTAAACGGTTTGATTCCAAAAACGAAACCCTCAGGTACGTATATAATATAGAACCGAATGCAAATATAAAACTTCATTTTTATTGCATAGCACCATAGATCGTATGTTATTATGTTATCAACCATAGAATATTAGATTATAATTACATAGGTATAGTATAATTAGTATTGTTTTGTACATTTTTGTATACGAATGAAAACTATTTTATTATGTGGACTGTATCGCAAATTTTTTTTAACGTAAAGAAAAAAGTGACACATATTATTTAATTCAACTTGTCACAAAACGGACGGTACTTGTCGGTCATGTCGGAGCGCTCGTAATAGACTGGTTTTTCGATACTATAGGGACGCTACGATGATACGGCGGCGAGGGTCGATTCTCTTTATCACTAATCGCTCGCCTATCGAAATAATACAATCACGATGTAGAGAATCTGCAATCTAAATACAATAAATAGACCGTCAACCAACAGACCACCCGCCTAAAAAAAAAAACATTTTCAACAGGATGTACATACAATTAATTAATAAACAATTGAAATCATTTTTTTTGTGACCAAAAACAAATTAAAAAAAAATATATAAACATACATTTTTTTTTTTACGTGTTATCATTTTACTCTGTGTTATTGCCTTCCAAAGGCAGAGGACATAATTGCCCATTTATACAGACCCTCGACTGTTTTGACTTGCACTATCCGTATTATCCCACCATCACCTTGTTGTGTGTGCTTACGACACCTAATCTCCATTGCAGTGCGGGAATGTTGTCTTCTTTGATCAGGAAGGGTGTTGACCAGTTGCCTCCCCCACGGCTGTTACCGGGATTTTAAGGATATACCAGTTACCCGCAGCCAAATGTACCAGTTGCCCTCAACCAAGTGTGCCAGTTGCCCCCAACCGAATATACCAGTTGCCATCACATGTTAATTTACCACGATCACAATATATAGCCCGTAAAATAAGAGAGGTAAAATAATATATAAAATTATAGAAAAAAATTCATACGCTTGGAATTATATATTTATACTATATATACCTAATATAGTATTTTGCAATAATTACCAATAAAATTATAATATAAATACAATAATCAATAAAATAATAAATATTATAACTATGTGGCATTTAATGTGATAATTTGCCAACAAAAGTATAGTAAAAAATGATATAAAAAAATTTCATAATAAATAATATAATAATAGTGATAAATGGCATATTCAATGTAATAATTATTCAACAAAAAAATAGAATAAAATGATTTAAAAAAATATAAGCCCAATATAATTGTCGTTACTCGTTATAATAATAAATCGGCTATTGACTTAGACGCGTCTAAAATTACGCATTTTTGGTAAAATCCTCATATTGCACCCAGTAGGCTATTATTATTAATACAATTTTCATTTTATCTATTGTATAATATATTATATTTATTATTTACCTATTACAAAATACAATATCATGATATTATATAATTGGAAGTATCCGAATTTGATTCTATCATTTTATACTATTTACCTTATTTTTATAAATTGTTTAATATTTTACTAATTAATTGTATAATTACCTCCCCTATTATACGGACTTTATATCATGTATATAGTAACATAAGAGGGCAACTATTCGGTTGGGGGCAACTGGTACATGCCCATCAGGACCACGGAACCTAGATTGACTTCCGGACCTTTCCTGCTTGACCATTTGGCGCGTTCCTGCAATTGTCCCAGATATTCAGTACTCCAACGACGCCATAGTAACTGTGAACATTGCGTGACTCGACGCCATTTCGTTGGACGATTTATGGGTACTTCTAATAAATTATAGGCTCAAGCATAGCGACAAGAGTCTCCCACTAGGAAGTGTGCTAGAGTAATACAAGTAGGTTTGGACGGGTCGAACGATAATGGAGTTAATGGACGAGAACTTAAGTATGCTTTAGGGCTTGTAGGAGGGTAGCTAGTCCTTCAAAAGTCAGATTTATGTCGCCCAATAATTTGCCTAACAACGATTTCATGGACTTCACCGCTGTCTCCCACAGCTCACCGAAACGTTGTGAGCGCGGGGAGATAAAGTGCCGTGATACACCGACGTCGGCAAACGTTTTTTTCGTACAATTTTAATGCAGTTTTGATTGAAATAGTTGACGCGGCTCTTTCAACTTGTTGTTCGCGCCGACGAAGTTAGTCGCGTTGTCTGAATATATTGCCGCGCTTTTTCCGCGTCCGTCGAAAAGTCCATTTAACGAGCGACTGCGTCGTGAGATCGCATACTAATTCAATACGAACTGCCTTAGTGGCGAAACAAACAAATACACGCGCATATGACTTTATTAAGGGGGCTCGATGCAACAGACTGGACTTTATGAAAAATGGCCCTGCGAAATAATATACACCTGCACATTTAAGGAATGGACGCGAGGGCTCGACTCGATCAATAGGCAGGGTTCCTATAATCAGCTGTACTGTGGTCCGTGATAGATTTGCTGCGGAAACATACAACACACATGTGTATTATAGTGCTTACCAAATTGCTTCTGTTTATCGGCCAATAATAAGCATATTGCGGCTAATACCGCTTACGGCCCGCCGCGCATCAGGCGTTCATGTTGATCGCAAAATTCATAAATGTACTGTCACCTGGTAGTACGATCGGGTGCCGGTGTTGTATATCAGTTAACAACGCATTTTTCAGCCCACCAGGACGAAGCGTATTAAATCGTACTCATAATCTCATCCAAGATGGGACGTTGGCGTAATAGCTTACTTTTCCATAATAAGCAGTTACCATTTTTTAATTCACGCAACTCGCTAGCAATATAGTCAGTTTGTAGTGTTTGTACCATTTTTATTAATGCCGTCTTCACGTTATCCAACTCACAGTCCATACAGACACTGAGCGGACTACTACATTTTATATTTTTTAATAACACATTATTTTTAAGACATAAACACCATGCGACTATCCGTATACATTTTGATAACGACGAGAAACGATGTAAAATTCAAGTAAATTCAAATTTTTATTTATTAATTTTAGTTTAGTAATATGTGAAGAAGAAGAATTTTTAAGAATAATTAAGTAATAATAATAATTAAGAATAAGTTTTCTGGAAGAGATGGTATGCCTAAATTTTGAGAGGACATAGCCACTCCACTACTCCACCCTCCTAAGTTGAACTTATGTCCATAATATAATTGCATTGTTCATTATTATATTAATTCCGCATATTTTAGTTAAAGGTTTAAATGTATAGCTTACATATTATGGTATATGTATAACATTAATATGATATAAATAGTTATATAGGCATCTGGCTATAATTGAATTAATAACTTTTCCGCTGTAAATGCTAAGAGTAAAATAATATGTACAAATAATATCTTGGACCTAAGTAATGAAATGTATTTATTTAAATTAAAGTCTTAAAAGTTAATTATGTGTACTAACTATATAGGTACTCGATGAAAGGAAAACCGGACAAATGTGAGGAGAAGCGCTGGAATGCCATCAGAGAATGTCCATTCCGTGGAACTGGAGTAACATATTTATGTGTTTGACACATACTTTTATCTTTTTATTCAGCTCATAATTCATATGATAATAATATAAAATGGTTAAGGATAACCTATATTATGTGTAAACACAATATCTTAGTGTTTGATTATTATTCATTGGTATAGTTGAGGTGGTTATAGGCCATTTAGACTCCCGTTCTCATTTTTAGGAATAAAACTTTTTTTTTTGAAGTTCATAGAATATACAAAATACAAATATATATATTTTTAACACGCATACAATTTATAATAGTAATATTATAATCTTCCATTATATAAATAACTATAATTAGCTATAAAATTATAAGGTAATAATACAACTTACATATGATTGAAGTTGAGAGTTATAGCCTTAAACAATAATTATAATAATAATAGAAAAAAATTTAATAAATAATATAGTATATACAGTGTACACGCACATAAATATTGTTGAAAATATTTATATTTTTAACCTTCGATCACGGTCTTATTTAGGCATTACAGTATGTGCAGGTTGGTGTGGTGAAAAAAAAAATATGAGTAGAAAATCCAAAAGCCGAAATTTTCAGTACAATAATCATTAATCGTTTACATATAATAGCCAAACAAGCATACCTAATAGCATCAAAGGAGCTTGTACACTTGTAATAAAATATCATAGTTGATAGCTATGATAAAATATCATCAATGTTGTTATTTTGAATGTGCGCAAACGTTTATAATATGGCACTAGTCTATTGATAAACGTAAATTCGTTAATATATATTGAGACGGACGATACTCTATTACTATACTTTGACACGAAGAATATCGCAATTAAGCTCAAATATTTTATCGTATTAAATATACAACCATATACCTATAGATATATAATATTTGATATGATACATATTAAATAGATCGACAGTGTTTACACACACACATATATATATATTTAATATTATATAGATATTTCCGACACTTTTCCGCGTTTATTACTTTATATACAAACACGTAAATACCATACACAGTAATACTATATTTAAAATTATTTACCTATCTGCGTTACATATACACAAATATTAGATATTATTTTATTGTGTAACGTCGTTGATACTGTTTGCTATAGGTAAACATAATATTATAATGTCTTCGGCCGCTCTCGGGGTGACATCACCAAGTCAACCGGTCAATGACGTCACGCCAAAAGCCCGAAGTCCAAATAGTGTTAAGTTACAATTTATTATTATTATATAGGTACTATATTTTTGTATTTATTACAAAGACATTTAACTATTTCATTAAAATATACGGCTCTCGGACGCTTATTTGTATACTACCTAGTTCATGTATAAATATTTAACATAATACAATTACAATTAACATAGGTAATTATTATTACACGTTTGGTTATTTTTTTTTCATCAATGGCATATATATATGTGTAAATATATGAAGGGTGTACAACAATAATAACATCGTAGGTTTATATTACTATTATCTTATTGGGTTACGCGTAGTAAATGCGTTTTGTGTCCTCAGTCTGTGTCGCTTAAAGTTTAAACGATGATAATAATAGTATATGTAGTACACTTGCGATGATCGTCATCTAAACTGTATCGCGAGATTTTTGTCTTCGGCATAATCGTCACTGTCATCATCTGTAGTAGTTTGAGCGGCTTCCAATTGTGTACGTGCTCAGCGGAATGCAACCGGGCGAGAACGTCATTTCGCCCTGCTGCTGTTCGTAATCCACGTCGTAGTAAATTCCGCTCTGATTCTGTGTCAAAATCAAAACAAAAAATAAATAAATAATGAGTATAATGATAGCACGAGAAAGCATCCAAGACGACCGTCGCATAAGTATGACTTGGGACAAAAGTAAAGTCGGGAGAAAACAAAGATGGCTGCGGATTGTAGAATGACTGAGTGTCTGTGTCCCGCACCAAATATATGATCCGCGATGTACTCATATGTTACAGGCGGAAAAGAAATTGGAACTTGGAAGTTATTACCAATAGAAATATAGTTCGGTTTTGATCTGTTTCGTTATTTATCGTATCGTAGATACCATTACTAAATAGCTATTAATGAATTGATAACTTTTTTCAGACTTTTTGCCCTCATTTTTCCGCTGTTTTTCATCATTTAAGTAAGCGTAAAGACCTTTTAGACGACGGATCCTTTGAATCCGGAAGTGTTTTAAGATCTGTGATAGAGATTTTGATAGGCTAGACATAGCCTCCAAAAATAATTCCCATGACACAGAAAAACTCGTTGTATCTATCATATATTATTAAAACGTAAATATTATTTATGACTTGAAATTTTTGAAGGAAATTCGTTTGAGCGGAACCGCTAAGTTCACATAACTGTTGACTGTTGCCATATTTAACACGTATGATATAGACGATATGGTATACAATATAATACATATATATGCTCAGATCGGCAGGTTATAGTACCGTTTTATGCATGCAGTTATGCAATACAAATAATAACAGCGTTCTACCATAGGTCTGACAAATATCAGGCAGATTGTAATAAGTAATAACCGTCAAGTTATTTAAATATTTAAGAGGAAAAAATTCAATTAAGAAACGAGGATAAACATTATGCGTTATTTAATTTTAACGTAGAAACTGTGTCCGATCATCGGACTCCGATGTCGTTCTACCGATGATGAGTCAATTTCTTTACGTCCGTATACTTTTTTTACATTTTTTTTAACACACGAAGCTTCACCGGCAAACGTTAATTAAATTAACAAATTTATTGGTTTTTTACTGAAAATACGTTTCAGAAGAAATATTTAACGGGATTTTTTGTCGAGTAAGAGTTTATTATTATTTATTTCCCATGATGACTTTATTAATATAGTACGTCTCATAATTAGCAAGCAAACAATACTCTGCGTAGAACTAGAACGCGTAGGCCGAAGAGGTGGTGTTGCATAATATTATAGTCTTCAATATTGTCATCGGTTTTCTGATACGTTTATTGTTTATAATGAGGACCGCAATCGAAAAATTATAGTATTGAGTTTAATTTAATTAATTTTCGATTTGTCACGGAAACTGTAAAGTATTTCAAACGGGTTTACAAAATATAAATGTATTTTCCAAAATACTCTAAAATTTTTTTACAACAGTTGGGAACACCTAGGTAAATTAACTAATTTTTATTGTCTTAGCCCGACAAAATTATTCAAAAATATAAATTACAATTAATCCCTGAAATTGAATTTATATTTTTTTTTAAAAAAAGTATTTATAATTTGTTGTTTTTGGTAAAATTTTAAATAACCAAACTGGGTTTTCTTACTGATTATTTTGTCGCAAGCTTTTTTATTTTAATACTACTATTATTATTTCCTAAACATGTTAAAATCAAGAATAATTTTAAAAATGAACGATGACGCTTCAAGTTCAGTCTAAAAACGGCAGGTGGTCGTATCGCCTATGTTCCGTCACCTTTTTAGTGGATAATCGAATGGTCACAAATTACTTTTTTAATACTGTAACAGGGCAAAATTTAAGACGGGTATTTTTAAATACACAAAACCTGTTCTCCATCTATTAACTATAGAAAAATTCTTCTACCCCTCATCCTCTCAGCCAATTAAAATACTCCACTGCAGATGATCACTAGTGCATCATCGTCATATTACATTTATACGTGTCGTGTCATATGTAATATTATATAATTTATAAGTTTATAGCAAACTGCAAAGTATTGTACTCACAGCCAGGGAAGATCTACTTTTCGGCCTGGAGGAAGTCTGGAAGCTGCGGCCCAGCAGGTCAGTCCGGTCCTCTTCTTCGCTGGTGCTCGACTCCGGTGTGCGGAATGCGTGCGAAATCGTGCTCGTGCCCGGGGGCCGGAGCCTGGGTAGTGGCATCGGTGCTCCGGCGTACCCGAACATGTTCGACCTCATGGTGCCGTTTACCGGTTCAGGCTGGAAACCAATCAACAGATTATTTACGGGCATGAGTAGTATTATTTTAGAAAGAGGATAAGGAACGTGGTTGGAATTCACTTTATGCGCATCATAAGACGGCCGATAACAATTTATCGTTCGAAACAATCGCCTGTAATTATAATATCCGGTTTCTATTACCGATGATACGTATATAATTGCAACTGGAATATTTTTGTTTTATTACAAAGAAGTTGTTCGAAAAAAATTTTTAACAATAATAAAATGTATTATACAGATAAATGGTAACTAAAAATGGTGATGTGTATACATTACAGGTATATTGGATATATTGAATGATTATAGTTAACTATTTATTTATAATCATTTTAAGTCTAGACAAGTGTGATGAAATTTGACCACAACTATTCCCACCGTCTAAAAATTGGACGGCTATAATATTATTATTATGTGGTCAGGGTTAGGATGTAAATGAGTTATTTAATTTAGTCGAGCACATTGCAGGCTAAATTATAAATCTATTTGTTATGAGTGTATGAAGCATAGAGGCAGTTAAATTATATTTCAGTTAGAATATTTTTTAATTTTTAGCCATTTTTAACTATAAATTCATCTTGTATTTAACAACATAAGGACACTTTAAAGTTACAGGCATCCGAACTCTGATTATAATTAAAAAAAATCTATTTGTTTGCATTCAATGTTTATAGGTCAACATTTTACGAAATTAAAAATTTAACATATTATAATATATATACAATATATAAGTAATTAAAGCAATGATCAAAAAATCTAAAATAAACGATAAACCCTAAATAGTGAGGAATTCAATGTATGAACACCAATATTGGCAATTGCCAACAGATAATGTGGGTATTATATACTCACAGCGTAATGATTGGCGTGCGCCATGGCGTCTGCTATCTGTGCCCACCTCATGCGGTCCTCGATGGACACCTGGTACGGTGGGCCGCCGATCACGGGCGTTTTCACAGTGCTGCCACCTGTCGGCATGTACCCGAACACGGGCGAGCCGACTTTCTGCTCCTTGTTCCAGCGGCGACTCCACGCGCACAGACACACTAGCGTCAGCACGATGATGGATATGGCGGCGACGGACGAGCCGACCGCCACGCTCAGAACTTCGCCGTCGATCTCACACTGAGACCCGTAAAACGATCCTGAACACCTGCGACGGAAGAACAACATTAGAGGATATTCCGGTTAACGGCGCAATGAAAAAAAATAAAAAAGTATAAAAAAATGTATCACAGTGCTAAGCCGAATTCGCAGCTAATTCGTGTTTCGTATCGTGTCGATCAAATCGCATTGTGATTGGACATTACTATTTGGGTATCACGTAATAACCAAGTTTCAGCAGAGTATACCAAGAATTGACTATAGTTCAAATTTTAAGCCAATATGGTTACCAGTTGTAACCTTAGTTACCACGCCCTCACACCACACGATGCACGACGTAGGTGTGTAATTTTTTTTTGTTATTAACGCCTGTGTTATTGTTTACGATATAACATAATATATGATTTAGGACCTGCCGGTAGTGCACCTGTATCAGTGAGTACCGACACAGTACTGGGCATGTTGTAAATTTCTGATTTGGATTTAGTAATGTACTCCAAGTGTGCATTTGTTCGTGCGGATTATTGTTATCGATATTATTATTGATTAAAAATGGCATTGCATTCAGTGTTAAGTTATGGAAAAATCGATCTAAAATGCACACGCCACACACAGTTCAATGAAAACAATACTAAAACAGCGCATTTTCTGCAACCGATAAATAATATTTAGATGATAATACCTATAAAGTATATAAAGTAGTCAAAAAAATTATACATCCATACGAACAATTTTTGAAATTTTTGAATAATTTAATATGACATTATAATACATTCGATGTACCGTTAACCACACTCGCACACATATTGTGTCTGCTCAACTGACCGGCTGTCGTAGAGATATAATATATCTATGGATTTTCGTGGGCGTCTATATAATTGATGGCGGCTTGCGGTTTGCATGAGAACAGAAAGGGAAACACATAATATATGCATTTATATGTGTGTATTTTATACATCATCGACCGCGATTATAATGATGACTAGTGCACACTGACCTACAAATTTTTTTCCATCCTATACAACCGGTAACCTATACGCGCTGCGCTTTATCGTAATGTACCTACCTATTATATGAACTATAACCGTGTAAAACGGTAGTTCCGATTTACGAGTGGTGAGTATTTCCTATTTACCGGGTGTTTTTTTTATCATTGAACAGTGAACACTTATTATTTCAAAAAGTATAAATGTTATTGAAAAAAAAAAATGTGCACATGGTGCACATACTTTTTGAAATAATTGATGTTCAATGACAGAAGAATCTCCCGGTATATGAACCACACAAGTACAATACGTGCCCATCATAATGTTGTGCAGACGGTGATCATATTAATATTAGCTTACAGGGAGTGTTGCATATGGTTTATTGGTTTGTTTTACTATGTGTATTATGTATCTATATTTGCAAAAACAAATATTATTCTTATAGTATTATTAAATTGTAAGTATTGTAACTATGGGCCATAACAATAAATGCTTACGTTCTTCGACATACTCAAGTCAACGGCTTTTGGGAAAAGGTGGGGTGTAAAGGACTATGTGAAAACTTGGGACAGTATCTGTATAATGTTATAATACTTTTTAGTAATATTTTTGGAATAAAACACAATTGCGTCGGTTGCAGAACCAGAAAAATCCTAAATTCTTTATGAGAAAGGTGTATGATACTACATAATATACGATAATGGTACTTATAGTAATGGTACTTACTTGCACACTGGCTGTCCAGCCTGGAAGAAGCATTCACCCCGTAGATTGCACTGGCCAGGGTCGCACGTCTCGCATGTCCGGCCGCTGCGCTGAGCGTTTCCGATCCACGGGTCCCTGTAGCCGTCCGGGCACGCGCACTGGAACGTGCCGAACACGTTCGTGCACTTGCCCAACGGATGACAGTCGTTCAGTTCCGGACTGCTGCACTCGTCGAGATCTGTACACGGATTGCAAAACATGAATATAATACAACATACATCTTTACATAAAATTATAACAAATAACAATATTATATAACACAAATACACAATTATATATCAATATTTAATAGACGACATAATAGGTGTGTAGCTTGGATCCGAAATTAGGTAAATTATTCTGGTTAAAAATAAATATTTTTGTAATAAGTATTTATTTGATGCAGTTTCGATATTTTGAAATATAAGATTTTTAGATGTTTTTTTGAAGTAAAACTTCTTCAGGTGAAAGTAAATACTCCAGAGGCGGTGAATGACTAGCCGACGAAAAAAGTCACTGTCTGTTTACCACAATCTTACATTATTTATAAAAAAAAATTAGACGGTGGATTGTACTTTTGAAATAAAAAAATACAATAATTTTAGCTGGAGTGTACAAGACGTGGTAATACTTGTTTATGTCATTTTAATTATTTTTAGATTTTAAAAACTGAATAATACTTTTTAACATCAAAATTCATTTTTTTTTTTAAATATCTGTTCGATTTTAAATGCTCATAATATAATTTTTGAACGCTTTGAATTTGTACTTTTTCTTATTTTGACCGGTAAACATGTAAAATCCTACTCTGTCCTTAACTGCCCGCTACAACAGTATACAATATAATGTCTATATTACGCTATGTAAGCTCAAGTAAGTGTGCGTAAGTAATTGTAAGTAATGACGGAGTTGTACCGTGAAGTTGCGAGATGGCTCCGGCCGGCGAATCTACCCACAGGCCACTGGTGCCCACATTGTTGTTGCGCCTCTGCAGCGCACCCGTCAGCTGCTTTTGCACGTCCTGCTTGACGGATGACCGCAAGTGTTCCGCGTTCTCCGTCAGCTGCACCGTGGCGTTCACCATGACCGGCATGCCGGGTGTCGTCTTGGACATGTACACGTTGTTGATCTTGACGCCGACGAACGTGTCCGAAAACGGTGTCATCGAAAACGCCGAATCGATCTGCGAGAAAAATGTTACAGGTACAGATTTATGTCGTTAGACAGGCACTATCGGGTACGTAGTCAGGAATTTCCAATTGGGTTTGGGAGAGGGTGTTATTAGGATAACAACATTAATGAACAAAATACAATATACTACCCATATTATTTACTAACAATTAATTATACTTTGAATGTTAACTTATATTAAATAATGGTTTTGCTGTCATACAATATTACGTACTTTTCGACAAGTTATTATAAATCTGTTATAAATAAACACAGTTGTTGAGTACTACACACTACAATACCCCCCTCGCTTCGCCACTACGGGGCTCTATTATTAATTAATATTTATCACTTTTATTTATCAGTGTGGCGCTGCATGTATGGGAAAAAAACCGCAAGACATAAATCAATTTCTATTCTCCGTTCACCATTGACAATAATAACCTATTATTATTAATCTTTGTTTATTATTTTTGTACATTTTTTTAAATCTATAACAAACAAGTCACGCATGCCGCTGCTGATCCGTCAGTGGATCATACATTCCAAACAGTCGAAACGTTAAAAATTTTCTTAAAAAACTACTTTCGATACAGTATAGTGTATAATATTATATTATATTTTGCAGTGTTTCGTCCTGCGGGTTTTTATTCCGAAAACTGAGTTGGATGAATCTTTGTCTATTTGATATTATTATATATCTAGCTACTATGTATTTAGAGTCTAAACTTTGGGCTGTACAATGTATTAATATACAGTACCTATTTTAATATAATCGACTGAACGGTATATTATTGATATATAATATATGTACATACATGTGTAGTGTGTATACGTAATGTATATAATAAGTCTTGAAATTGGGTAAAATATTATTTTTGGCTAAAATGAATAAAAATGTATGCTTTTTAAAATATATTCAAAAACGAAATGCATCACCACCCACCAGTGTCATTATAGTATCCATATATCGCGGTATAGCGCAACACGGGGTGCAAATTAGTGTCGAACGAAATACATTATCAAACCAAACAATGACGAGGAAAAGTACTAATACTATTCGATATTTGTCGACACCGGGTATTGGGTAATCTATTCACTGAGAAGTAATATTTATGGTGGAAAAACTAATAATTATATAATAAAGTAACGACGCGTGATAGGTATCTGCTGCATCCTTACCGCTCTAACGGCTTCGTGTTCAAGTTGTTGATATTCTTGGGTCTCGGAATCCTTGTACTTGTCCGTCCATGTGATCTTGTTGTCGTATAACCGATCAACGCGTAATGAAAAAACGATGGATACGATCCCTGAAAAAAATCGTTGAATAAGTAAATAATAATAAAAGCGCACACAAATACAATATAATGACGACAATATTAAAAAAAGTCATATTTACAACGAGGTCTTTTCATATCTAGGATTACCATTTTATTTTATATGAAAAATAAAAACGGAACAAAAATCTAAAAACTGTTTAATAAAATTATATTTTAAGATGTTTTGGAAATAAGACCCCGGTGCTATAGCCGAGGAGTATTGTCAGAAATGATGACGGTCGTGCGGATTCGTCCATTATAACACACTGTGTAATGTTATGCAGCTGTAAAAATATTGTTTTTGATTTGTTTGAGCAAAATTATTCTCTTTTAAACAAAATGTTATAGATATAACAATATTAGGACGGGACAATCTTCTAAAAATTGGACGAAAAGCGCCCCGTTAGACGTGTATTTGGACAACTGGATATGATTCTGGAAAAAGGAATCATCTCCTTTTAAACTCGAATGGTCAGTGATGGTTACCCGACACTAAGGTCACACACAAGGAATATTGTCAGAACTTCTGATCTTCGTGTAGTACTTTCTGTATAGCCGAACATTTAGTGGTACGAATTCGTTTGGCAACAGAGATGGATATTATAATATTACGGCGGTGTACTTAACGTCAATGATTTGAAAAAAAATTCGAACATACTTATACTTAGATAATAATTTATTAATAGGGCAAATATGAGAAAACACTGAATACTCACTGTGACACGGGTCCCGGTGCTTTCGCCTGCTGTACCCGGGCCTGCAGAGGCACGAGGACACGCCAAGCTCGGTGCGGCACCTTTCATGCTGCGCCGCATCACACGTCGTATCGTCGCCCACTATACAAGTGTCGATTCTCACTGGCGGGTGAGTGGGCCGTTTCCAGGCCGGTGCCGACGGTTTGCCCCCGCTTGGCGGTGACGGTGGAGGCGGTCCCGGTGGATTGGACGCACCATGCGGCTGCAGCACTTGGCTCACTGAATATGATCTGAAACCGAAAACACGACAACAAACATTAAACCACAGTAGGTACAAGCGCAAAACACCTAATGCCCCTTTAAAATAAAGAACAATTTTTCCTTAAAAAATCTGAATATTTTGTTTTTGATTATGCCATGTTTATTTCCTTTAATAAACCTGTTTTTCAATTTGTATGCATATTTTCTGTTCAAAGTAAAGTCAATGTTTCACATTTGATAGGCGTCTCTGGACCGCTCATTTTTTTAAAGTGTATTTTTTAGTTCAATTATAGGTATATATTTATTTATTTGATATAAAAGTTATATTATGATGATTATACGTATAGGTAACAGAAGTACGAGAGACGAATAACAGATACAATACATTGAATATTAATTAAATATTAATATATTACATTGATATTGTTATTCAGTAACAATTTAAATTCATAAAATAATAAGAGTCGATTAAAAGACATATTATATAGGGACTAAATTGAATAAACCGTGTAAGTATGTTCCCGAGTCCCCTCTTCTGTCCTATTTATGTCTATAGAACAGTCGTACGTCTTATGAACAGTAATTATATACACAATTATAAAGTATCTATATTTTATTATTCATTCGATATACTCGTATTATAATCGTTATAATAATACTTAATAATAATATGTAACTGTGATATTTTATAGCGCCAACGCGATGAGATATTTGGTACGGTCGACTACAAGTTTGGGTCGGAATACTTTTTAAGGACCTCGGAGATTATTTTTAGACCATCTCGAGAGAAAGTATCCCAACGATCATTATTCCACCGGGAAATAAATTAAAAACAACCATCACATTTGTACACGTGCACGTTATTACTATCACTAAACGATATATAGCATGGTATCTATTAATTTACCGTGGTCCGTATACATAATAATAGCTACGAATTATATTATATTCATACAGTAATTATTAATTTACTAATTAGTCGACAATTCACATTCCGTTATAAACTTTGCTCGTTTAATTTAGAACTAATGAACAATTAATTTAACAGCCTGTTTATCAGTGAGGCTGGTATACTCATATGTATACCTACAGTATATTATTTATAATAACCAGGTCACCAGGAATCGGGATTTTATGCCCTAAAAAACTTAAATATATGCACTTGAAGATGTTTTAAAATATCATTTATAATTTTTTTCTAGTTAATTTCTAGTCAATAATATTTGAGAATAGAGAAAATACTTAGATGTTTAGTTTAAAATGTCAAATATATTTTTATATAGTGCGTCAAATATAAAAAACAGTACACAAATATTAATTTGTCATTCGAAAATTATGTTGGATATAAATTAATAGGATATTATTATCTTATAATTTATAAAAAATCGAGATATGAAAAAAAATGAAATCTAAACACCATGAAACAAATTTATTTCGAATCAGATTTCTTCTATTAACTTCCCAAACAAATTCAAATATGCATAAATTCCTAAGTCGATTACAAAATATTGGTACTTTGCGGCGGCAGTGCGTGCATGTGGCTATTTATAAGATTCAAAAAACAAACAAATAAAATCACCGAATGAATGAATAAAATCATACCTAATGACAAACACTTAAGGCTATATCATTTAATATAGAAATCACACTCACCCGGAAGCAGCGCTGGTCGGCTTTATGGACTGAGGCGCCACCGCGGTTGGTTCCGCTGAGCCGAACAAGTTGATGTACGTTCGTTTACCGTCGATGGACACGAACTGCTGGTTTGGTTCTGCCGACGTTATCACGGACACTTCTCCTTTTCCGACGCCTGACGGTGATATTTCATCAGCTAAAATAAAATCCAAGAAGCACATCGATATAAATAATAGTATGATATAATATATCTGATTGAATCTACGAAATTTATTGCAAGAAATGACTAAATAGTCAACTAAATTGTCGAAAACAGTGACTAATCGTATATCTCGAATATTTTAGAATATCGATTTTGTAAATCTGGTGCACTATGTCATCAGTTGTCATGAAGTACCTATTAAACTTAATAACAATGCACCGTCACTCGTGTTCTTTGATGCTTTGTACTTTGTAGAAGTAATTGAGCTCGATAAACATTTATTTAACATTACAGTATTAACATTACAGTATTAGTTCATGTACAAATTTCCAAATTTTGCACAATTGTTGTAACTTTTATGTCGGGTCGCATAAAAAATAGGGTTAATCTAATGGTCTTTTAAAATAAAATGTACCAATCAATAATCATGGTCTACTAAATCATGTTTGAGGAACCATTAGCTCACTATTAATTTATTAAATGTTTAGTGATTGATTATACATTAATATTAATAATACACAAATGTTCGCTTACGATTCAGCAGTGCTGGCTTGTCACCCGGCCCTTGAATGGCGGACACCATTATGTCGAACACGTCACCTTTACTGGGCACCTGAACTTGGATGGGGCGTCTCTGGCCTCCGATGTGGGGTTTGAATTCCGGATCATCCAGCACGATCCCTGGACGTGAATAATACGGGAACCCTTCTGCGAAAACATTATTTTCCGATTATAGTCGACAAAGTATCCACCATTATAATATTAATATAATCGAATTGTTATAGCAATTCGTTTTAAGTTATAAATCGTACAAAATGACAAAAAGTGTGTATCTACTCATTGGCATAAATCAAAAAAACATCAAACTCATAATTATAATTTAATTGTGTATATAGTATATAACTATAACGATAATGATATTATATTATATAATCTTTATTTATGTGTAATGTGCGCTGGCTGGATTGGGCGGACTAAGTGCGGCTATCCAGTCCTGCATATGTGGCCAATATCGCATTACCTCGGATGTTGAACCCTACAATATTATATTACTAAGAATTTCATACATTTCAAAAACAATAATAATGCATTCATTTTTATTGGAACGGGTGGAATACTTCACATTTTTGAAAAAGTGTTGGACCTAATAAAGGTTTGATGTAGCCTACGTGTACTCAATTTCAGGTCCACATAATGTAAAGAAATTTATGTTATACATATTATATGCATTTTTAATACTTTCCACAGACGTGTACAAACGCGAACATAATACCTCCGTTACACGAAACAACGATTTTAGTAAATGAGATGCGAAAAAGAAGAGGTATACCTAAGCCAAACGTGTATATTTCACGTCGTCATGATGACAAAATTGTTAGAATGTTATATTCTATATTCTATAGTATGATGTTTTCTTAATTGTTTAGTACATATTCTATACTAAATATCTTACAATAAATAATTAATAAAATAAAATAAATTATACATTTATATACCTGATGTATTCAGTAAATGTGTTGTATTACTAATGACTAATGAGTAATGAGTATATTATGTATAATGATTAAATGATTTGTTTAATATGATATTAATTAAAATGTAATTACGTTATCTATATAGGTATACCTACAAAAATAATGTAACTTTTCAATAATTTAGCTGAATTTATTTTATATTTAACGTGTATGTTTATTGAATATATTATCAATAAGATGTGGTTATCTTATTCAAATTGTTAATATTTTAAGTCGTAAAAAATCTTTTCCACTCTTAACAATTTATTTTTTATGGGTACCAATTAGATTGTAAAAATCATATTATTAACATTTAATTACACACACACACACACACACACACACACACACACACACACACACACATGTATATTACTATAGTAATAAACTAAAAATTAGTTCTCTACACCCATCATATCATGTTTTATTTTAATCTTCAATGACGATCTGGGACCAGTATTTTACTTATATATAATAAGAACTGTATGGCTATACAGTAATTTCTATACTTAGAAAAATTCCCAGCTTCGGCCCAAGAGTGGGGAGGCGACTTTCCTCTTAACCTCGCTCAAACAAACTCATTAGTCATTATGTAAACTTATAACGACTATGTGATAGTTACCTGACTGTTGCGGGGTCTTCTTGACGGGCGCTGTAGGCTTGCTGGGGAGTTTGTTTTCGGTCGGCTTATGCGCATCGTCGCGATGAGGTTCCTCCGAAGTGGACGGCTCGAGTACTACGACCGCCGAACCGACGCCGGTTACGTGTTCGCCAGCCGGCGTGGTTTCCGGTCGCGCGACTGTCGTCGTGGACGTTGATTCCGCCGCGGTGCTGGTGCTTGTGCTGGTGGTAGTAGTGGACGTCGTTGTCGTGGGTGCGGCAGCGGAGGCGGCTGCGGTGGGATCGCTTACTCCGATAGGTGATGAGGGAACCACCGGTGAGGTCAAGTGATCGACGAGTTTTGACACTTGGATTCCGATCACACGGGTCGCGTTGATGTCGATAGCTGACCATGGTTTGTCGGTCGTGGTCGGTTTCTCAGAGACAGTGATCGCGGCCGGTCTGTCAGAGGGCGGCGGTGACTGAGACGAAGGCGCGTCCACCGTAAACTTTTCCGTCACATTTTCGACAGGTCTGGAAGCGGCTGGCACCACGTGGCCGGGGCCGTGCGCATGTCCGTCCGCAAACAAGTCGTACTCCTGTTGTGGCCTGGCTGTCTGCTGATGCTGCACCGGTCGTCTCGACGACGATGGCAAATGCGATACGTCGTCTTCGTACTGCAGAGATGGTGGGCCCAACTCGTCGTCGTTGTCACCACCATTGGTGGGCACCAGCTGTTCGGGCAGTGGCACTCCGGTCAAGAACGGCTTGATAAGGTTGGGCGGTTGAGGTGGCAGTGGCCTGGCAGGCTGTGGCACGTCGAACGGATACGGTGGGGGGTCTTTCGGCTTGTTCTGTGGTGGTAGCTGTTGCTGGTGCTGTTGTTGGTGCTGTTGCTGGTGCTGGTGTTGCGGCATAGGCACAAACGCCGGCGGTTCCAGGACAACCGAAGCGTCCGATATGCGGGGAGGTCCGCGGTTGTTGATGCGCGTCTTGATCGGCTGTCGGTAACCAGCTTGACCGGGCTGACCATTCAGTAGCTTAACGAACCCGTCCAGTATGTCTTCCATGTCACTGTTACCAGCTTTACGGGTCTGCTGACGGTCTGCCACCGCCGCCGCCACATCCATCTGCTGCTGTTGTCGTATCTGCGGCGGCTGTTGCGCTGCAGTATCGGGCTCCGTCGGTACGAGTGATCTGCCACGCGACGAAGCCCTCTTGGCTTCCCCCGAACCGATCTTTGTCGGCCCAACGTATTCGTAATAGTATTGTGACTGGGACGTCTGTTCGTCCGCCATAGACGACGGGACGGCAGACGACGCGATCAGTTGAGAGTCGTCGTGCAGCGCCGCAGCTGCCGCAGCCGATTCCGTATTTTCCGGCATTTCACCGCACGAGCCGCCGCCGCAGGCCGCCGCGGTCGACTTGAATTCTTCGGCCCGGGTCAGTGACATGTCAGCCCGCCTATGGTGATCGTCGTCGATCTCATTCGATTCTTGACCCGTCTTGGTAGCCTCGTCCAGATGCCGCCTGCGCATAACCCTCACTACTTCATCTGAACGTCCGCTGTCGTTTTCGCCGCATGCCACACCTGAAACACAAACCGTACGATAAGTACATACATATGACGTCATTGATTATTGCAAGAATAGTAATAAGAGTGTTAGTGGTGGTAAAGACGGGGAGGGGAACTTATCATTTTGATTTCTCTTATCGCCCTACGAGGACATCTAGTATATATCCTACTTGAGTTTACTGTGAGATCTGACTTCAAAATTATATTGCATTTCAATATTTGAAGTCATATTATAATCCTATTTTTTCCCAAACAATAATAAACTATGCGTTTATTGTTTATTCATACACGATAATATAATTTGCATTAGTAATAAAATGCGATAATTTAAATTTATATTATTAAAACAAAAAAGGCACCATTTCTTTTACGCGTGATACTCAGCCTGAATGAGGACTGCAATAAAGCGTATAGAATAGATACATTTTCTAAATTACCATTCGGGCTGTAATTCGAACAGCATTGCAATTTATATTCTGTATTTATTAAAAATGTGAATTCTGTTACCTACTCTATATGTTTATCACAGGCTGTGCTTAAAGGAGTCAGATGTATCGATAGTGTTCTGTATAGTTGACGAAATCATGTGTTTGTTTATTGATAAAAAAAAAAATACTATGTACGTAATCTGCAAATCTTTAGTGCCCTGACACGAGTGACGATCTACCGTTTTACCGTTCTGTGCATTATATATATCGTGGCTATAATTGGTGTATCTTATAATGAAATGCGTAAACGGAAATTCCACACGTAAAAATCGCACGATCGTCTTTAATCCCTCAAACGAGTGTTACAAAATATATTATATACGGCCGGCAATAATTATGTATTGAGTCACCACTCCCGTGTTTCATTATATGGGTACGTAATCCGCTGCAGTTGTTTCAGTTATAATATAATTTAATGCGCGGTCGTCGATTTCAGATAACTCTCACGTCCGACTTGAAATTGCGCAATCAAAATATAAATGTATAAACAAGCGAATTATTATTAATCGGACTTGCCACTTGAGTATATTTTGTATTTTATATGCATAGTGGGCGTCTCGTAGCGCTTTCACCAACTTTTAGTGTTTACTCTTTATCTTAAAACATTTTTCCCCCATACAATTCGGCACCTACGAACGACACGTATACTTTCACATACTATAGCATGCGATGTCACCGCAACTAAAGCGTCATCGTCGTCCGCTGCCTGCAACAACAGGAGGGAGACCCCCCATATGGCCATATCTATCTACATATATAATATTAATTAAAATACATTTATACATATACAGTGTGATTCGAAAACCATGCTCACCCATTCCCTATCATTTAACAATGCTTGTATCAAAATTAAAGGCTTTGGAATTTTTATATACACTTATTAACCATATTATTAAAAAAATACATAGCTTTTTTTACAATTTAGAGATTATTCTATAGTCTATGGTAAAACAATATTTTTTTTCAAATGAGAATCACCTTTTTTTCTAACTAAAATAAAATCAATAGGTATGGTTTCTGAGTTATAAATCTTTATCTACAAAGGACAATAATATT